GCTGCTGTGTTCAGTCAGTTCTCTGGGAGTAAACACCCTTTGTTCCTGTTGGAATTCCCTAAGACTAGGTGTATGTAAATGTGCTTCTCCTGCAGGGTTTGGGTGCTGGACCCACAGTGCCACTCAGACCTCTATGTGAATGGCAGGCAGCTCAGGAGGTGTGCAGGGCAGACAGGCAGATGACAAGACATGACCCCAGTTCTCAGAGGTTGACAGTACATAGGGAGGCAGGCTGTAATGACATGCATCAAACAGGCGTGAGCCACCCGTTCTAGAGCCTCAGGAAAGAAACAAATTCAAACTGGAAAAACCTTTTAAATATTCCAACACTACCATCGTGGCCATCCTCAAAGGAGCAGTAGGAATGAAATGGACAATTAAGAGAAGCACACAGCCAGCATCAGAATGAGGAAAGACCAAGCGATCTGAGAACACACTGTTTTGTTTTGTTTTTTGGTTTTCTTTTAGGAAAAGCAGGTTGTCTCATATGGCAACAACAAAGTAGTGGAAGGATGAGAGGAGGGTGATAGAGGACAAGTTGGGGCCAACTTTTAGGGTCTGCAACAGGCAGGACGACTTCACCAGCATGGAATACAAAATCCAACTCAAAATGACCTTACAAAGGAGATACAGAATCTCATGCGATATAGGCCAGAGGTAGCACAGCTCCAGAGCTGGCCACTTCTGTCCTCAGCGACATCATCAAGCATCCAGAAGTGTTTCACCTTTCTGCTTATCCATCTGCAGCTGGCGATCCACGAGGTCACAAGACAGCAGCTGCTCCTCCAGCGTCACCTCCTCACACCAGTCTCCAGAGACAAAGGAGAGAAGCCTGCTTTTTGTCTCTTTTTTCTCTTTTCCTGCAGTTACATTTTTTTTTTGATAACAACTTTATTGGGATACAATTCAAGTACCATACAATTTAAAGTGTTCAATTCAGTGGTTATTAGTATATTCCAGAATTGTGCAACCATCACCACGATCAGTTTTAGATCATTTCCATCACCTAAACAAATAAACAAAAACAAAATCCATACCCTTTAGCAGTCACCTCTGAATCCCTTTTTACTGCTCCTCCCTTGCTCCTAGCCCTAAGCAACCACTAACCTATCTTTATATTTGCCTATTTGTGACACATCATATAAATGAAATTATCTCAATCTATAGTTTTTTGGTGGCTAGCTTCTTTTACTTCCATAATTTTTTCAAGGTTTATCCATGTTGTAGCATCAGTACTTCATTCTTATTTATAACTGGATAAATATTCCATTGTGTGGATATACCATGCTTTGTCTATTCATCTGTTGATGGACATTTGAGTTCACTTTTTCTGGCTTTTATGAATAATACTTTATGAATGTTTTGCACAAATTTTTGCATTGACATATGTTTTAAATTCTTTTGGTATATACCTAGCTGTAGAATTGCTAGATCAAGTGGTAACTAAATGTCTAACTTTTTGAGAAACTCAAGATTGTTTTCTAAAGTAGCCACATCATTTTCCATTCCCACCAGCAATGTACAAGGATTCCAATTTCTTCACATCCTCACCAACACTTGTTTTTATCTCACATTTTTTTTTTTTTTTTTGAGACAGAGTCTCACTTTGTTGCCTGGGCTAGAGTGAGTGCCATGGCGTCAGCCTAGCTCACAGCAACCTCACACTCCTGGGCTCAAGCAATCCTCCTGCCTCAGCCTCCCAAGTAGCTGGGACTACAGGCATGCGCCACCATGCCCGGCTAGTTTTTTCTATATATATTAGTTGGCCAATAATTTCTTTGTATTATAGTAGAAGACGGGGTCTGCTCTTGCTCAGGCTGGTCTCGAACTCCTGACCTCGAGCAATCCGCCGCCTCGGCCTCCAGAGTGCTAGGATTACAGGCGTGAGCCACCGCGCCCGCCCCTATCTCACATTTTTATTCTAGCCATTCTAGTGGTGTGAAGTGGTCTCTTTATCTCCTTTTGATATGCATTTCTGTGATGACTAATAATGTTGAGCATCTTTTCATATGCTTTTGGCCATTTGAATATCTCTTCGGAGAAATGTCTGTTCTGATCCTTTCCTATTTTAATGGGTTATCTGTCTTTTTGTTATTAAGTTTTATGTGTTGTGTGTATATTCTAGACACAAGTTCCTTATCACATGTGTGATTGCAAATATCTTCTTTCTGTGGCTGTCTTTTGCTTTCTTAATGTGTTCTTTGAAACACAAATGTTTTTAATTTGGGTGAAATCCAATATATCTTTTTTTTCTTTGGTTACTTGTGCTTTTGGTGTCATGTCTAGAAATCATTGCCCAGTCCAAAGTCACAAAGATTTACCCCTATGTTTTCTTCAATAAATATTTTAATATTGGGCTCTTACATCTAGGTCTCTGATCCATCTTTTGATCATTTGAGTTAATTTTTGTATATGGTTTGGGGTAGAGGAAAATTTCATTCTTTTACGTGTAATTGATTGAAAGGACTATTCTTTCTCTATTGTGAATGGTTTTGACATCCTTTTTAGCCCATATATTGCTTATCCTGACTCTCAGTTCTATTCCATTGATCTACATGCCTATTTTTATTCCAGTACCATACATACTGCCTTAATTATAGTTGCTCTGGAGTAACTTTTTTTTTTGCTCCAAGAGAGTTGGAACATATGTAATAACTTTTTAAATCCTTAAATGTTAGTCCTCCAATGTTTTTTTGTTTGTTTTTTTGTTTGTTTTTTTTTTGAGACAGAGTCTCCGCTTCTTCTCTAGGTTGAGTGCCGTGGCGTCAGCCTAGCTCACAGCAACCTCAAACTCCTGGGCTCAAGTGATCCTCCTGCCTCAGCCTCCTAAGTAGCTGGGACTACAGGCACAAGCCACCATGCCCGGCTGATTTATATATAATATTTATATTAATTGGCCAATTAATTTCTTTCTATTTTTTTATGGTAGAGACGGGGTCTCGCTCAGGCTGGTTTTAAACTCCTGACCTTGAGCAATCCGCCCGCCTCGGCCTCCCAGAGTGCTAGGATTGAGCCACCGTGCCCGGCCTCAATGTTGTTCTTATTCAAGCTTTTTTTGGCTATTTTGCATTTGTTGAATTTCCATATGAATTTTAGGATCAGCTTGTCAATTTCTACAAAGAAGCCAGCTGGTTGATCAATATGGGGAGTTTTGCCATCATAACAAGATTAAGTCTTCCAATTTATGAACACAGGATATCTTTCCATGTATATAGATCTATAATTTCTTTCAACATTTTATATTTTTCAGAATACAAGTTTTACACTTCTTTGTTAAATTTATTTCTAAGCATTTTATTTTTATTCTGTTGTAAACGAAATTGCTTTTTTAATTTCATTTCCAAATTTTTCATTGCTCTTATGTAAAAATACAATTGATTTTTGTATGTCCATTTGGTATCCTGCAACCTTGCTGAACTCATTTATTAATTATACCACACAATTATTTTTTTTTAATGACTTTGGTCATAGTCTCTAAGAATAGCATAATTATTCTAGGAAAAAAAGAATAACACAAATGAATAGTACCTGATATTCATTATACCTTAATGAATAATATCAGGATTTGATATTTCTTAGGAACCAAATCCTTTCTTGGAAATTAGCATCCAGAAAATGAAATGCCCCAAATATATAGAACAGAGGCATAAAACTTTCATGTCTTATATATATATTTTACATTTTTTGACAACTCCATTAATTAAAGGCAAGGATAATTAAAGCATTTTATTTATATATGCAGTATGTAATTGGCATGTGTCTTGGTTGGAAAATATAAATCACTAAAAATGCTGTGTCTTCATGAGTATCATTTTGGAAAACTCCTATTCCATAGAGAACAAGCCATGACAAATCCAGTGCCTTAGGGAGAGTATATCATGGATGGACTCATTCATTAGTGCAGGAACTTGTGGTAAACTCTTTTCTTTAGGGCCATGATTGTGTTAAAACATTTAATTACTACATGAAAGTTTCATCAGTGATAATCCTTATAACTGATTCTAACAGTAGTAAGTTTTCTAATACAGCAGTCTAGTTTGATTTTTAAAACACTAGACTTGGCCGGGCATGATGGCTCATGCCTATAATCCCAGCACTTTGGGAGGCTGAGATGGGGAGAATTACTTGAGGCCAGGAGTTCAAGACCAGAATGGGTAACAAAGCAAGACCCCATCTCTACAAAAAATTTTAAAAATAGGCTGGGAATGGTGGCACGCACCTGTGGTCCCAGCTACTTGGGAGTCTGAGGTGGGAGGATCGCTCGAGCCCAGGAGTTTGTGGCTGCAGTGAGTAAGCTGTGATCACACCACTGCACTCCAGCCTGCGTGACAGAGCAAGACCCTGTCTCTTAAAAAACAAAACAAAACAGCCCACTAGATTTGAAACTTACAGGAGGGCCCTAGAGGAACAAAATGAAAATTCTTGAATATGTGCCTGTGACACTTCGGTCCTGTTTGATAAGGGGGCAAAATCTATCCTAATTTCTGATTAGAAGAAAAAAGTATCTTTCAAAACATTTCAAAGTAAAATGATAGCAGATGTGGGTGCCTAATTGGAAACAGCTCCTCCTAAGTGGGCTTTTTGCCTCCCGGATATTAGAACTCTCCTCTACATACCCACCCCTCACCCCTGCTGAAGCCAGACATTGCGTCCCTTCCCCTCCTCTGCACGGCATGGGGGCCCTGTCCCACGCGGAAGGATACTAAGGATTGCATTTGACCTCATAACTTGTGCAAAGAAACAGAATGTTATTCACTGTAGATATGTGTAAAGATGGGGAGAAGAGAATGTGATACTTGCCAAGAAGTCTTAGGGCTTTTATTTTTTTCATTCCTTTTTGAAAACCTTATTTGTGATCTTAGTGACATGGAAGTGAAAGATTTTGTTTCCTTGTTTCACCACCCACCTTAATAAAAACACCATTTACCCCCTCAGATGGAAACAGCTTGCCAAGTTTTCCCTTTTAAGAGAGTCTTTCTTCTTGTTTCCTCTTCCCCTAGCATATTCCTCTGCAGACACTACTGAAGTTCATGGTGGATATCGCCCTGGGAATGGAGTATCTCAGCAACAGGAACTTTCTTCATCGAGATTTAGCTGCTCGAAACTGCATGTAAGAGTCCTGGGCCATCCTGGAAGGGGTTGGACCTCACGGTATTTGATGTTTGCAGTGGTGGGGGGTGGCCTGTTGCTGTTGAGATACGGAAGGAAGCTAAGTTTGGGAGGGGACAGTATGGCTTGCTCTGAAAATGGGATTATAACTGGGTATTTGCTTGGGATTTAAATACCTCTGCCTCTAAGACTCTGGTTGGCCTCCAAAGCTTTCTCCTGTGACTACTCTTTTATTTTCACTCCCTCACTCAGGTAGCACTGCTAGGTGTGACCTTTGATACTCCCTCACTGCCAGCAGCTAGCTTTGGACCCAGAGTTATGTGTAAGTCAGCTAATCATGAAGACAGTTATAAAAATTGTAAAGTTTTGGCCCTAAGTGTTCCTAACGCTTCCTGGAGAAGGAGTTCTGTGCTTTGAATACGTGGAAGCTTTCCTTTTACAACAGACAATGGCTTATTGTCTGAACTTTGGACTTAAGTTCAACCCATTTCTTCAACCTGCTTCAACAGAGCCATTATCTGCTGTAAATCGTCAAAAACAGTAATGATTTCTTCATTTTAAGTTTGAAGAGGGAGTGGTCCTTAAATCTGTTGCTGTCATTTGCTCTTCTAGGTCAGAGGTGTGACAATAGGGCCTCCACCCTCATGCGCCTCCCAGCCAGCCCTGCCCCCAGCCCCTACCCGTTTCACAAACCTCATTTTTACAAACCCCAAAATGGGTTTAGATTTTGTTATTGCTTTTATTGAAATAATTTTTCTACCATGGAGGTAGAAAAATTTCAGTTTCCTTCATGTTTTTCCCACCAGGTAGGGTGAACAGCTTTCTGGTTTGCCCTGGACTGAGGGGATTCCCAGGACATGAGACTTCCGATTTTGAAAGTCAGTGTCAGGCAAACAGAGACGAGTTAGTCGCCTACCCCAGACCACACTATATCTCTTCCTTCTCTTTCTCTTTTTTTCTCTTCCTCCTCCTTCTTGTCTATGGGCTGTTTTAATAATGAGCTATAAATGCAATTATATCTCTTTAATTTCCCAATTAATTCCTCAAGCACCCACCTGGTCATCTTGGCAAGTAGTCCAGTGTCTCTGTCTTAGAGCATTACTTCCCCCCCTGCCCCACACTCTAGGGAGCCTTGCTTAGTCCACAAGGCAGGTGTAGTTTCCAGACCTTAGGCAGGAAGCTCATATGGTGCTAGGTCAGTCCGGCAGAGGGCCTGGTTTTGAGCTGCTGCTCCTTCTCCTCCACATCTCTGTTCCCTCCAGGTGTCTCCATCCACTGTGCACAGGAGCCCTTGCTGGTCCAGATCCCCACACAGACCAGAGTGATGCAGGACTACAGCTCTTCTGGCTTCCCCTCACTTGCCCTGCCATTGGTCCCCAAGCAGGACCCTCCCAGGCTGATAGAGTCTCTCTCTTCCTTTGGTCGCTTTCCATAAATGTTTTCAGCTGCATCTGTTGCAGACCAGTGATTTAAGGCTTTGCCTCTGAGGTTGCTGAGGACATGAACTTGCTCTCTACAGGTTGCGAGATGACATGACTGTCTGTGTTGCGGACTTTGGCCTCTCCAAGAAGATTTACAGCGGCGATTACTACCGCCAAGGCCGCATCGCTAAGATGCCTGTAAAATGGATTGCCATAGAGAGTCTTGCAGACCGAGTCTACACAAGTAAAAGTGACGTGGTATGTACACAGCCTTGATTCAGGGCCCCACATTGCAAAGATGAGGACACACTAAAAGCAATAACTTAAGCTGGTATTGCAAGACATTATCCTTTGATAAACTGAGAATTGGGAGCATGCTCAGCCTTCACTTTTACTAAAGTATCTCTTGCTAGATACTTTAATGCAGGTGGAAAAGTAGATTCTGGGGAAGCATCCTAACATTCAGAAGAGCTGTGTGTTGCACAGGCCCTTCATTTATTCCCATTTTTCTTTGCAATCAAAGGATGACTCATTGCCCACAACTATGATATTTCAGAGTCATTAAATTAGATGAGTTCATCCAGTGGCTCTTTGGAACCAAGATGCTATATGAAAGGCACTGTGGAATTATACCCTTGACCCAAGAGGAGGAGAAGGGAACACCTCACAGTCATGGTGGAGCAGAGCATTAAGCAGAGGCCTGGTGTGTGACGAAGCTATTTCTGCCTTTGCCAAATTTCCCGGAACAACTTTCATAAAATTGGGGAACAGTGACACTCCAACCCACATTATTGCCGTGTTGGGAGAGCAGCGCGTCTCATACATAATTGCCGGCTTTGTGTACGATCATCAGGGCTTTAAGGAAATGACCTTTCCCTATGAAAAAGTCCATTCAGCCTTTGTGGAAAGACTTGCATCCTAATTTGTTGTTGCCTTGTTCTCAGTGGGCATTTGGCGTGACCATGTGGGAAATCGCCACGCGGGGAATGACTCCCTATCCCGGGGTGCAGAACCATGAGATGTATGACTATCTTCTCCACGGCCACAGGCTGAAGCAGCCCGAGGACTGCCTGGATGAGCTGTGAGTGAGCTTCTCTGTGTCCCTGGGCTCTGCATGGGGTAGCCACTTGGCTCTGCAGACACCTGGGGAAATGCACCTATGTGTGTAGGGGGGAGGTGCTGTTAGCCAGGTGGGCATGTGCAGAGGGTGGCACCTGCTGACACTGCAGGCCAGGAGCCATTCCTGGTGTGGGAGATGGCATGTGGCATCTCCAGTGAGCCCCCCAAGTGAGCCTCAGCCTCGAAGGTCGGGCACTGTGAAGTCAAGGTGATGGCACGTGTCCAAATACTCCTTCCATACCTCTAGGAAATATATCCACAGATAACCAGGTTTGTTTTATAGTGCTTGAGGTACTTGAATGGCTCCCCACCCTCTTTCAGACCAGTTATCCTTCTCTTTCTACAGTATGTACCATTTCAAACACACCACTCACAGTAATACCCTTCATCAGGAAATTTAGGAATCTAAGCCAGTCGCTTTGAGGTCAGGCTGGTCATCAGAACTGCTTGGGGGATGTTCTAGCAGTGTGATTCCTGAGCCCTGTGCCTGGAGGTAATGATGCATTTGGTAAAAAGTGTGCCCAGAAATGTGTGTTTTAAAACGCTCTCTGGGAATCCGTGTGCTCGGCCAGGAGTGAAGACCCCCATCTGAACGCACGCAGGACCACAGTGCACATCCCTTCCTGACAGCCCCCGCTGTCCTCAGGCAGCATGGGCCTTGGAGCGCGCAGGCCAGGCTCTGCCTCCTAACCAGCCCTGTATGTGGTGGCCGTGGCAGTTGACTTGCCCTCTGTGTGCCTCATGTTGTCAGCCACAAAAAGAGTATCACCATACATCCCTCGGGGAGATATAGTGAGGATTAAATAAGAAAGTGCCCGGAAGGCTCAGCCGGTATGAGTCGCACAGAGTAAATGCCCAATTATTAATGGCATCACTATGAACTGATCGCCCCCAGGCAGCTTGCTGGCGTTTTTAAAATAATTTCTTATGGTGCTGCCTGTAGCTTGGTGACTTGAACCTTCCTGAAGGCGAGTCTCCTCTCACCATTGTGTGGAAGGGCCGTGGGCTGGGAGAGGGCATTCTCACAGCAGTTAGTAAGAACGTTTCAGCGCCGTGGGCCTGTGCTGGCTGTTATGGAGTGCCATGCCTGGGCGCCGGTGCAGGTGAGCACGGTGGGCAGCCCCCCTACACACACACATGCACACACACACACATGCCTACACATGCACACACATACATGCACACACGTGCACACACTCTGGCCCCGCTGCCTCATGTGGGAGAGTGAGCTGGGTCAGTTTGCCCGAGGGCCTCCCATGTCCCTTCAAAGCAAAACAGAAGGGAACTGTTTTAATCAGAGCCCTGCCCTGCTTGGTGGTGGTGGTGGTGGTTATCGTGGCTGTAGCTGTATAACATTAAGAACACAAACAAACACTGTAAGTCATTTTAAAACATCATGGAATGGTAATTAAATTAGTTCTAGGGTTTCACGGTAGTTTCAAAAAGGGCCATGTTAATGAAATGCTTGTTTCTGAACATGAGGAAACATTTCAGTCAAACAATATTGACTGGAAAGAGTTTTGTTGCAGTTTCTTAGCTTTCCCTGTGCACCAAAAAACATTCATATTTGCAGTGATTATCTTGAATCTTAACCAGGTCGAAGCTGTGTCACATTGTGGTTTTAGAGCCAATATGAGAGAATGCTGAGTCGGTTCTCTGGGAGACTCTTTAGGAGAAGGAGCAGCAGAGTCAGCAAGCGCCACGTGGCTGGGGAAGTCGCGGGCAGACCCCCAGCCCCCACCGCCTGCGAGCTCCCTGCACAGCCCCCGCTCTGGCCTCAGGGCCCTCGCCAGCCAGGCTTCCTTCCCCGTCTGCTCTCACATCTGGATGCCTACTAACGACATCCCCAAAGAAGACTGTGTGTTTCCTTTTTTTTTTTTTTTGAGACAGGGTCTCAATTTATTGCCCAGGCTAGAGTGAGTGCTGTGGCGTCAGCCTAGCTCACCGCAACCTCAGACTCCTGGGCTCAAGCAATCCTGCTGCCTCAGCCTCCTGAGTAGCTGGGACTACAGGCATGTGCCACCATGCCTGGCTAATTTTTTCTCTATATATTAGTTGGCCAATTAATTTCTTTCCATGTTTAGTAGAGACGGGGTCTCGCTCTTGCTCAGGCTGGTTTCGAACTCCTGACCTCGAGCAATCCACCCGCCTCGGCCTCCCAGAGTGCTAGGGTTATAGACGTGAGCCACTGTGCCTGGCCTCTGTGTTTCCTTTTAAAAATGAAATGAATCCTTCTGAGCGGCTTCTGTCTAAACATAGTTGAGACGAGTTAACTCCTGTGCTTGGTTGCCTCTCGGTTTTTGAAAAGTCAGCTCTGAAGTACGACGATGCGGATCACAGAGCGCCCTTTGTGCCCACGCTCCCTGAGGGTCACCTCTCCCCACTGCATCGGCCCCTGGATGGCCAGGCTGCGGGCCCCTGTCCTCACCACCCAAGAGGCCTCTGTCTGTGATGTCCCTCTCAATGTACATGGGACGTGTCCCCACTGTGCCCGTCACAGCCTCCCCGCTGCCCCAGGCTCCTAATACATCCTTTGGGTGACGGCCAGAGTGACCTTTCTAGAATTATAACCCTGAAATGGAATGCTTCTGAAAGTGATCTTCCCGTGGTTTGTCATTGCCCATGGGGTGAGACCCAAATTTGTCTGGATTGGATCCATGTCAGGCAGGGCTGCTCAGTGGTTATGAACCTGATCTGTGGGGCCAGACACTCCTGGATTTGGGTTGCAGCTCTACCCTCAACCTGGGGCCAAGCATCACCCTCTCAGGTTCCTCACCTGTAAAACGGGTTTAATGGTACCTGTGTAATGGGTGGCTGTGCTGACTGACCAAGCCGATGTCTATGAAGTGTTTAGCACAATGGTGCAAACAGTAAACATGAGGAAAGGTCAGAGGTCGTTATTTTTAGCTAAGGAGGTAGAGGTCACAGATGAGAGCAGGGGCCCCGTGTCGGGGACTGAGTACTGCCGTTGGCTGTTGGCGTGACCTCAGGCAACCCCGCTTCTCTCCAGGCCTCAGCTGCCCTGTCCAGAGCAGGGCTGCTTCTTCCTTCATGGGGCAGCAGCAAGGAGCAAATGGTCAGAGCACCTGGGTTTACCCACAGCCGCCACTCACTGGTAATGTTCTTGCTGCGTCAGTGGCCTTAAACCTGTGCCCACTCAGATTCCGGGGCTCCTCTCTGGGGTTCACCTTTCCCCTGTCACAGCATTGCCCTTGTTCTTCTTATTCCTGACCACCCCAACAATGACCTTGAGCTCCCGTTCATCTTGGCCTCCAGGGCCCTGCCTCTTTCCTACTACTCGTGTGCCCCGAGGACTCTGGCTCACACCTGCCTTTCCCCTCTTAAAGTGTACTTCCTCCACTCATTGACTGCCTCCTCCACTTCCACTTGAGGCATCCCAGGCCCAGAGAAGGAGCAAGGTAGGAGTCACAGGGTTTAAGTGGCAGAGCTAGGGGTAGACGCTGGCTAATATGGTGGAGACACAAGCACGCCTAACGAGAGGCGGGCGCCATTGCCCTGAGCAGACCGGCAGCACTGTACTCAGCCATGCTCAGAGCCAGGAACAAAGGAGGTGCTTAAAGACTATGGGTTAAGTCACACATGTATAAATTTTGTAAATTTATATGATTGCATTTTTTAAAATTCTGGTAAAATATACATTATATACAACATATACAACATATACTGTTGTATAACCATCATCCATCTCTAGAACTCTTTTCATCTTACAAAACTGAAATCTCTCCCTATTAAACTACTCCACATTCTCCCCTATTCCCAGCTCGTGGCAGCCTATATAATTATGTCTTTTATAAAATCTCAACAGAAAAACAAAAATGACCATTTACAAAGACAATCACCAAACTTATTTTTCTTTCCATAAAATTTCAATCACTAAACATCACTGCCCTTCCATTAATATTTACCAGGTGCTTCTTGTTAATCTTCTTGGTCCACTACTGTGAAATTGCCCATTTGTGGGAGTAGGTTAGATAGTACACTTGCTCACCATGCTTTAAAAGTCATATTTATATTTTTTATATTTCATAAAGTATTAACTACAAAAAAGAAGTTTCAAAGTGATATTGCTACTATTCTAGTTGAAGAACAAGATAGATTACTTAAACACTTTCTCCTAAGACATGGAATAAATGAAAGTAAATTAAGTAGCACAGCCCCTTGAGGAAGTAATGAAAAGAAGATTATGTCGCTAAGGAAAGAATGTCTCAAAGCTCATCTCAGAGTGCAAACAATCAAGGCTCTGTGGAAAACAGGGAATCATGAAAATTGATTTGTGCCATGAAAGCCTCAAAAATAGAAACAAAAATTGTTTGCCAAGTTGAAGCGACCATGTAATGAAGGTAAGACCGGGAAACTAGAAAGAACTCCTAAGCCTGGGATGAGAATTAGGGTTGTGAGACTCGAAAAGTGTTGGTAAAGGCTGGAAAAGTAGACAAGTGAAAAGGTATTATTATACGTCTACAAGAGTGAGATTCATATGTTGTCTGTGAAATACTACATTAGTAGAATTAGCCAAAGGATCTGTAGGATATGACTAAATATAAACATTTCTGTTCATAAGATACCAGTGTGCCAGATGATTACTGCATGTGCCAGATGATTTAAATTTGGGATGTTTTCTTATCCAGTGACATGAGTATCAATTTCTCAAAACAGGAAAAGATCAAAACAAAATGCTTGCCAGGCCTGGTGGCACATGCTTGTAATCCCAGCTACTCAGGAGGCTAAGGTGGTAGGATTGCTTGGGCCCAGGGGCTCAAGACCAGCCTGGGCAAAATAGCATGACCCCTATCTTATAAAATATATATCTCTGAAAGCCAGTTAGTATGCCTGGCCCTAAAAGGTCAAACCTAGCAATCAGACATAGAAATTGTTTTTTAAAAAAGTGAAATGATGGTATAACTTACTCTTCCTCTCAACCTAGTGATTCTTGAATGTCATCTCTCTGTTTCACTGTGCTCCTTTAAATGTCACTCGATCAAGATTCGTAATTACCTTGGACGCTGGGAATGGAGAAACCATTCAGAAGAGAGAATTGTCCCCTATAGAACACCGCAGATGGGGTCACGAGGTGCACTTGGATGTAGACTTGTCCAGTCTGAATCTGATTTCTCTATTGCCCGCATGGCCATGGCACCTTCTGTAACCTCCCTGAACCCACTCACCATCATTACAAAGTGACAGTGACAGGGCTGTGGAGAAGACTAGACGGAGTGATACTCACCACACACTGCCCCTCACCCCTGCTCCTGCCCTCCTTAGCCCCAGCCCCAGGACTCCCACCTAATTCAGCTCTCCTGGTAACAGCCCAGCTTGACAGCATGGGGCAGAGGTCAGCAAACCTTCTCTGCAAAGTGTCAAGTAATAAATATTTCAGGCTTTGCAAGCCTTTGAAGCAGCTGTTCAACTCTGCCATCGTAGCAAAAGCCGTCACAGACAACACGAAAACAAACAGGCAAAGCTCTGTTCCAGTAAAATTTACAAACCAGACAGCGAGCCAGTTGTGTCCTGTGGGCCATAATTTGCCAACTGCTGTATAAAGAAAAAGACCATACATACTCCTTATTTGCAGTGTTAGATATAATTGCCAAACAGGTCCTCTACTCCAGAAAACAGAATCACTTTCTTGTCAAATACCCATGGAACATTTACAAAAGTTTTATAAATATTAAGCCACCTAAAAAGAAATCTCAACAATTTTCATGAAGAGTAGAACAAATGCTGATTAAAATGTGATAAAAAGTAAAGATTAGATGAAAAGGGGTGGACTGTACTAAGGGATCCGTGTGCTGTGCCAGGAGATAATTCACTTCCTTTGCACTTTCAGGTATGAAATAATGTACTCTTGCTGGAGAGCTGATCCCCTGGACCGACCTACCTTTTCAGTGTTGAGGCTGCAGCTAGAAAAGCTCTTGGAGAGTTTGCCTGATGTTCAGGACAAAGCAGATATCATTTACATCAACACGCCGCTGCTGGAGAGCTCGGAGGGCCTGGCCGAGGGCTCTGTGCTCCCTCCGCTGGACATGAACATTGACCCCGACTCTATAATCACCTCCTGCACTCCCAGCGCTGCTATCAGCGTGGTCACAGCAGAGGTTCATGAGAACAGACCTCACGAAGGAAGGTACATCCTGAACGGGGGCAGTGAGGAATGGGAAGAGCTGGCTTCTGCCGCCTCTGCTGCAGTCACGGGTGAAAAGAACGGTGTTTTCCCGGAGGACAGACTTGTAAGGAATGGGGTCTCCTGGTCCCTCTCTAGCACCCTGCCCTTGGGGAGCCCATTGTCAGACGAACTTTTGTTTGCCGACGACTCCTCAGAAGGCTCAGAAGTCCTGATGTGAGGAGAGCCGGGAGGAGGCATTCCAGAATCAAGTCCATCCCTCTGCTTTAGGAGAATCCAATTAGGCCTGATGTTTTTGGTATTTGTTTTTCTTACCAAGTAACCTCCATGGCCCCAAAGCACCAGATGAATGTTGTCGGGTAAGTCGTCATTAAAAATACATAATATATATTTATTTAAAGAGAAGAAACATATATGTATATGGTGGAAAGAGATGAGGATATTATATTTTAATAAAAGATGACTTATTTCACTGATCTTGCAGATCTTAAAATCTAAGCTTCAGCTGTTCTTTGATACTAACATTTGTGCAGAGTCAGTTATTTTTTAAGTTTCTTTTAAGTCTTTTCATGACTGTTAAATGTAAAATATTTGTAAAATGAAATGCCCTATTTGACTTGGCTCCTGGTCTTCATGTATTTGATAAGAATGAGTCACTTAATATTTAAAGTTTTAAAACTGATTAATTTTCTGATGTGACTTCCTAATAAAATACGAATGAAGAAGGACGTGTTGAACTTACTTGAGACCTGGAAAGACAGCAGTCGCTGGCAGCGTCAGTGCCTTTGCACAGGAATTCTCCTAACACCCGGTCCTCAGTGCAATTGCTCTCGCCATTCTTGGCATTATTTTTTAGAGAGATAGAAAAACCACTCCAGGAGTCCACAGATGGGCAACAAGAAATCTTAAAGGACTGAAAAATACGAAGCAAGTAGGAATATGTAAGCTGTAAAGGAGAGTGTGGCAGTGAAGCCCTTCTCTGTTGGGAGGTGTGACTCACAGGTGGTAGGCATGGGCAGGGGGCAGGCCACCACGGGCTGTGGGGCCGTGTGCACGTCCAGGCTTGGCCACTTTGTAACAGCTGTCGTTTGTTGAGCAGTTGTTATGTTTCAAGAACTTTATGTAAACTGTCTTATTTGATCTGTATGTCATTATATTAATGCCACGGGTACCAGCACCATTGTCACATGTGGGCAAGGAAACTGAGGCTTTGAGAGACTGAATAACCTGGTTATGGCCCACATCTAGAGAGTGGGGCAGCTGGAATTTAGAATGTCTGATTCTGGCTGGCTGTAAGCATGTGATTTAGGGGTCTACTCCAGGACCTCTCGGCATTTTAATTTTTATGTAATAAACATTTAACACTTGCTATGTTCTAGGCATGGTACTCATTTAATCCTTATAACCACCCTTCCAGGTAGGTACTACCATTATCTCCACTTCACACATGGGCAAAGAAAGGCAGGAAGAGGCTAACTTACTCTGCTAGTAAGGGCAGAAGGCTGATGTAGTCAGTTGAATTATTGATCCCTCAGCCCATGGGGCAGCTGGCCACTGGCATCTGCAGGCCCACCAACTGCCCACTGCTGAGCAGCCTCACCCAGGCCTCTTGCAGCCTTCAAGGATCAGCGTCTACACAGGATCCGAGAGTCTTGGTCACAGCTGCCAGCCCAGGCACCTGATCTCTAGGGTGAACCGGCTCCTCTATTACTGTGAAATGTTTCACATTAAAAAAGTTCTGAGGAAGGCCGGGTGCTGTGGCTCACGCCTGTAATCCTAGCTCTTGGGAGGCCGAGGCGGGCGGATTGCTCAAGGTCAGGAGTTCAAAACCAGCCTGAGCAAGAGCGAGACCCCATCTCTACTATAAATAGAAAAAAATTAATTGGCCAACTGATATATATATAAAAAATTAGCCGGGCATGGTGGCGCATGCCTGTAGTCCCAGCTACTCGGGAGGCTGAGGCAGAAGGATCACTCGAGCCCAGGTGTTTGAGGTTGCTGTGAGCTAGGCTGACGCCACAGCACTCACTCTAGCCTGGACAACAAAGCGAGACTCTGTCTCAAAAAAAAAAAAAAAAAAAAAGTTCTGAGGGTTTGAAAGGACTCTGCATTGTTACATGAAATGCCAGCATTACATCTTATTAATGAAGGAAAAAAAGGCTATAGATTCTACAAAGATCATTTATTTATACTGCTGAAAATGTTTGAATAGTCATTAAAAATCAATAAAAATATTACCACCTACTTGTGCAAAGTTTCTTGTGGATGCTGACTTTCAAGAATTTGAAGAATTCCTCATTAAGGTCTTGATCAGGCATTGACGGGGACTAATTCAAATGGAAAAGAAAAAAAGCCCCAATATTGCTGAGTGTGATGACTCATGCCTGGAATCCCAGCACTTTGAGAAACTAAGGCTGTAGGATCACTTGAGGCCAGGAGTTTGAGACTAGCCTGCGCAATATATAGCAAGACCTTATCTCTACAAAAAATAAAATTAGCTGAGTGTGGTGGTACACGCCTATAGTTTCTACTACTCCAGAGGCCCAGGTGGGTGGATTGCTTGAGCCCAGGAGTATGAGGTTGCTGTGAGCTGTGATCATGCCACTGCATCCCAGCCTGGGCAACAGAAGGAGACCCCATGTCAATAACAACAACAGCAACACCAATATAGGGGGGTATGTTCATATTTGTGAGCTAAATAAGCAACTATAAAAATTGAAAAACCTATTATTTGGAAGTTTCATATAAACTTAGCATTAAATATCTAAACTAATATGCTTTGTATTTTATATTTCTAATGCTAATTATATAATGAATATTTCAAATGCCCCACAGCCCCCCAAATCCTGTCCAGTGTACTTAATATTTTCCATGTGGCCTGAGAAAGACTTGGGGAGCCTGGGCCAGTTCTGCCGTAGTAGAGTGTAGAGAACTGAGCAATCTGTGGCTTCTGGCTTTTCTTGAGACATCAACAAACATAGCAGAGAAATTCATTTCATCCAGCACACAGTGATGCATCAGGGTGTTGGTTAAAAGCGATATGATAGGAGAGAATGAAGCTGGGCTACTACCATTGCTCAGCACATTTAAATCTCCTCGCTGAGAATTTTGGAACTGTAGTGTTCTTAGCCACATTTTAATGTTTGGAAATTTGGAAAAAATCCAATCATTGGCAAATTCTTTTACTATCTTCTGGGCATAAACCAAAAATAGCCTTTTAAATTGCCTTTTGCATAAACTCAAAAAGTGGTCGCAGGCAGGGAATGTGGGGACATGAGGTGGGTTAGGCAAAAAGTGGGAGAAAGGAAACGAGTCTAGTCATTGTCTTCAGCCAAGTTGGGACAAGGGATTAGGAGGTCAAAAGGACAAAGAAACAAGCAAGTGCCATAAATACTCGTGACCTACAGGTTGAGACTAGCTCTGCCTTGTGACAGAGTTTTTTCCTTTCCTTTTTTTTTTTTTTCTTCCTTTTTCTTGCTTTTCTTAATGAGTGGAAAGGAGAACTGAGGAACAAGGCAAGTCTTTTGAAAAAAACCAAAGCCCTCTGTGTCAAGAGCCAGGCCCCATGGCAGAAGCAGGGCCTGGACAGGAGCTAGTCCTCTCAAATCTCCTTGGGCAATCTCGGGCAGGTCACTTGACTTGAGCCCCAGTTCGTCAAGTATACAGTAAGGACACCAACGCCTTCTGCCACAGCTTGTGTAAGAAGGGGAGGAAGCAAAGGTCTTTGAAAAAACTGCAAACCCAACATTTGTCATGTTAGAAATATTTTCTCTGATTATTTCATCAATTCCCTCCAAAATAACACAAACTCACTCAATAATAAAATCGAGAGAGAGAGGCCAGGTGTGGTGGCTCACGCCTACAATCCTAGCACTCTGGGAGGCCAAGGTGGGAGGATCACTTGAGTTCAGGAGTTCAAGACCAGCCTGAGCAAGAGTGAGACCCCATCTCTACTAAAAATAGAAAAAATTAGCCGGGCATGGTGGCACATGCCTGAAGTCCCAGCTACTCAGGAGGCTGAAGCAGGAGGATCACCTAAGCCCAGGAGTTTGAGGTTGCAGGGAGCTATGATGACACCACGGCACTCTAGCAAGGGCAACAGAGCAAGACTCTGTCTCAAAAAAAAAAAAAAGGGAGAGAGCTAGTGACGCACGCAGTTGGGGAAGTTCAGAGTGAAGGAGGATTGCCCTCGTCCCTCACCTCAAATAGCCACTGGGCTCAGGAGTGAGCAATACCCTTCATCAACGGCATCCTGGGTTTCATTACTGATTACTTGAGCCTCAGTGCTCCCAACCTATATGGGTTATGGCAGCTGTTCCCAACCTTTTTTGGCACCAGGGACTGGTTTCATGGAAGACAATTTTTCCATGGATGGTGGTGGCAGGTGGCAGGATGGTCTCGGGATGATTTAAGCACATTACATTTATTGTGCACTTTATTTCTATCATTATTACATTGTAATATATAATGAAATAATTATACAACACACCATAACCCAGAATCAGTGAGCCTTGAGCATGTTTTCCTGTAACTAGACGGTCCCATCTGGGGGTGATGGGAGACAGTGACTATAAATACAGATGAAGCTTCACTCACACGCCCTCCGCTCCCTCCTGCTGTGCTGCCTGGTTCCTAACAAGTCATGGACTGGTACCAGTCTGCAGCCGGGGGAGGGTGTTGGGGACTGCTGGGTTATGGCAGCAGTCCTGGCTTTATCGATGGGATGTGGGGACATAAAGTGGGTCAGAGCGCCATCGGAGAAGGATTCCCTCTCTGCCTCCAAGTCCAGTAGACCAAGCAGAGGTTCCCTAGCTGGGAAACGTGCCAAACCACAGTCTCTTATCTTGCACATCAGACTGATTCTGGCCAGAGCAGCCCTGATTTATGCAAGGCAAGGCCCTGTAACTTCTCCCAGTTAATGGCGAAAGCAAGTTGGAACTTCTGCTGAGTTCATGGGAAAGTAACTGACCCAGTAATAAACCAGCTAAAACAGCAACTTTTCTCTGAAGACATTTAGTTACTCTGGGTGACAAATGGGAAAATGGTAAGTTTTGTTTTCCTTAATGAATGTTGCAGTAATGTGCAATATTCCTATATTCAGATTTTGTTTCCTTTTAAAGCTCTAAGAAAGAACAGCAGCAAAATTCCTATTTTATTTAACTTAGGCATGTCTCATTATTTAATTTATTGGTATTTAAGCATAATGATTATTTCTAGAAACTAACCCAGAGACCACTACTTTGGAATAGTTTCACGTACAGTATTTTGTTAAAATGGGAGTCCATGTACAGGTATTTGAAAGAGAAACTTGAGAATTAGACATATTAACCCTACCCCTTAAGGACAGATAATTTTTAATTAATGGATGTATTGAGACTGCACAATTATAAATTCTAATGAAGAAAGTATTTTTGACCACCAGTCATATGAGGTCACACATAATCCACTCATCCATTCTTAAATATTCACTGAGAGGAAAACTCTCTTCTGGGCATTGCGATCTTGCAAAGGAGGGCAATGTAGGACTTGCTGTCTTGAATAACAGCCTAGAGGAGGGAACAGATGGCTTTACAGGAATCATTTTCTTTTAAGTAACATTCCTCAGAATGCTCTGGCTTGCACATTTTGTTCAAGTTCATTAATACCACAGTCAGGCAGATCAGCAAAGCCTGCAGATGCGGTTTAGATTCTATAAGAAATCTCAGAACTAGACATGGAATGCCTTCCTGGGAGTGAACCGCAAAGCCCTGTCCCAAATGACTTAAAATTAAAGGGCCATTGGTTGGGGTTCGAAAAGCAAAATTCTGTTATACCACACACAGTCTGAGCAGTTCAAGGAAATGCAGGCTGCTCTTTAACACCATGAATACTAATGGCTTATTTAACAAACAGTTTCCCATTATAAAATTATGTGGCTCCCCAGTTCTTTTTGTCCTGTACTTCAGATTATCTCTAATGATCTGACTCAAGTTTGCTGATTTTTTTTCTTCTACCAGCTGTTGAGCTCTTCTAGTGAATTTTTCATTTCAATTATTATAGTTTTTCAACTTCAAAAGTTCCATTTGGTTATTTTCATAATTATTATTTCTTTATTGATATTCTGTATTCTATTTTAAATTAAAAGTTTTAAAACATGGTTTTCTTTAGTTCTCTGAACATATCTATAAATAGATGCTTTTCTATAATGAAGTATAGTCATGTGTTACTTAACAACAGGGATACATTCTGAGAAATGCATGTTGTTAGGTGATTCTGTTGTCGTGTGAATGTCATAGAGTGCACTTGCACAAACCTAGATGGAATAGCCTACCACACACCTAGGATATATGGTATAGGCCTATTACTCCTGGGCCACAAACCTGTACAGC